AAAAACGTTACTGATATTCAAATTCAATGACGAGGAACCCACTTTGAGACTAATAATGGCTGGAGACGGCTTGAAAGGGTACATTACTTGTACCTGATGATGACAAAACCTTGTCGAAATGTTGTACATTTGCTGTTATGTTAAACTTATATTAAAGTTTTTCTTCATTACCCATTCAAGCCATCTCCAGCCATTATATCTTTCAACCTGTTTTCAAAGATGTGTTTCATTAGTAAATGATCAACTACTTGGTGTGACATGATACAAGGATGGCAAGAAAAAGATGAGGGAAATGCCCAAAAACAAGAAATGGGTAATATATTCTCAAAAGACATGATAGGTTCTTAGCAAAAATAAATTTATTTACAAGAAAAACTCTTTAGAGCTGTGCAGAAATGAAAATTTGAACATCTTTTTCAATTTTCTTCATGAATTAAACTAACTGAATGTTATTAAATGATCAAATATTGATTCTATAATATTTTTAAGTTAAAATTATTGAAATACATTCATTAGAATTAACATATAAAATTGACTTAAAAACTTGCAAAAAAAAAACTCATTTGGCCAAAAAGATTATATCAAAATCCAGAGAAAACCTGGTCTTCAGGTAGAGCTGGACAACTTAATCAATTACCTACAAGCAGTGATTGCACTGATTAGCATCACATAAATTAGTCAGTTAATCAAAATTAAGATTACAACAATTAATATAGTATTTCCAATTATTACTGTTTTTGATTATGTCAACGACTGATTAATCAAACTCACGATGAAATAGATAATGAAAATAATCAACTAATTGGAATTAGGGTTTCAGATTATTCAAACTACCCGAGTAATTGAAATATTGCCATCAAACTTGCTCACACTAAAGTTATCTGTAACTGTCGCTAATGTTTAACTGCTGACCTGGGAGAAGGCTACTGGCTGGCAACACCAGTGCCAACAATTTTTTTTATTTGTTAATGAACTGCTGACTAGAAGAAATGTAATCTCTCAAGTAGCACCTGAAGCCAATTTTTTTCTTTTCTTCTTACTTGTTAATATCATTGTTTGAAAACACTGTACAAGTCAATTAGCAAATAACACTAACTGCCCAGCTCTGCCTTCTGACACAATAATGTAGGATTAAGTTATTTTGACAATCCTAAACTGTTGTATAAAACCTGTAATAAGCTGAAAATATTATTAAGTGTTAAGTGGGTTTCTTCTTACATGTCCACAAAACTACTGTACTAAAACAACTTAATATTTTTTGATGGAAATAAAAATATCACTTTACGACATTTTCAAACAACTTTTTATATAAAATTTATTATCCTAAAAAAAACCTCACAAATAAATTATTTTAAAAAATCTGACAATTTCAGCCATACACCTACATTAGGTGTTTGTTACATGAAAATGTGTTTCATTGCTGTAAATAAAATTATTTTTCAAAACATGTAATACACCAGACTTGACCACAATACTGATGTTTCTAGAAAGAATAAAAAAAAACATTAGAGCTTGCTATAGGGATTACTTATTCTAAACATTTTTCAATCATATAAATGTATATATAAATTGTTAATTGTGAAACTTTTCTGGATTATATGTGGACTTGTTCATCACTTACAAGTTTCAACCAGCTTGACTTGAGTGTGAATCCATCATTTACAGAGCTCTCTACAACTCAAGCATCACTTTATTAAAGTTAGTGGAAATAAACTAGTTATCCAACAGTTTGAAAACTATAAAATATAAAGGTTAAAGACCTGTTCAAATTCAGATGAAAACAAGAAAGAGGTTAGACAAAGTACATTACTTGAACAATCATAATGGAGAGGGTGTAAGTAAAATAAACACATTAATACTTCCTAATTAATTAAGGAACAGAACTAAGAAACTAAATAACAATATTCACCTTGCACGTGAGAGAACGTGTGCATGGCTTCCCATTTTCAGGAACTACAACTCCACAGTGTTTGTCAGGATCATATTCCCGATCTAGTGAGAAAATGGTGGGGAAAAACCTACTGAAATATTGTTCCTAAGTTATGCATATCCTGTTTATAACATTTTTAGAATCATTGTCTTTTGATTGATTTTTTAAACTTATTTTCCATCTAAGTATATTAATTCAGTACTATGGCTTTAGGATTGTATATTTTCTTTAAATAGTATAATATCAGCAGTCACTCATTAGTATTGTAAAACAGTTTTGTAAAGATCCAGATTTGACTATGGCATTAATCAGGTATCCTTGCATATCTAAGGTAAAAAATATCCATCAAAGATATTTTAGCTATTGTTTTATTATTAGGTTCCACCACTAAGTGCTGGAACATTTTAAATGTTTCCTCAAACAAAATGTATAACAGTTTTTTCTACTTATAGAGAAAACATCCTTATAATACAGGCCTCAACAAATCCCGGGCTCTGGTGACTAAAAATTTCATCATGACACCTAGTATTTTCTCACATTTTATTCGAGCATAGGGATTTACTAAATAGAATTTGAATCTAGAACAGTTCTGGACTCTTGGAAGACCCGGAACTATTTTTAGATTCTTTAAGTCCAAAATCAAGCTTTGTTTGTAGGATTTTAATGGCGGATTCAGCACTTGTTCATGTTTTTTTCAGGAATGAAGCAGTGCAGATACACAATACATTATTAATTTCATGCCATTTTATTTTCCTTCTTTCTTTCAATTCAACCAATCAGTGTGCATGTTTAGACTCAGGGTGGACCAAAGGCAGTTAGTTCAGGCAACACTATCAAGTGGTTAATATCATGTGATCGTTAGTATGTACTCGTTGCTGTGAAATTAAATAAATATAGCCTCCAATTCCAGATACAAACAGTAGTGAAGTTAGAGTAGGCACACCAAAAAGCCTTTGCTTATTGTTGTACAGTGTTGTAGTGATAAGTAGATTAGACCTATTCTGAAAGAACCTGCTTGGCCTATTGATATCACAGTGACAATTTTTATTTTACTTTCATTCATTGCAAGAGTCCATCTAAGTTATAGTTATTTAGTCTACTATTTTAATAACTGCACAGACTGAAGTTTAACTTTTATATATGTTATATAATAAAGTTTAATAACAAACCCTTTGTTTTTTAGTGTAAAACTGTATGTCTCGTACCATAACCATATAACTGGCTCCTAGATCTGAAATTATTTGTCAAGGCCTGTTCTAACGCCAGTTTGACAAAACAAGCAGAAATATGAGCATGAGTAGTTCATTAATATCATGTGAACAACTGAATATAACCTGAAACAATCTTACATGAAATTTGCATTAGTTGAGTTTACTTGTTTATCTGCATGTTGAGGGAGAAAACACAGGTGGAAGAACCTTATTTAAATTGTCAATGATGTCAACAAAACTATAGTTTAAAATCTGACAAATCATATGATGTAAGTATTCATTACTTACTTGGAAATTACACAAATAAATATACAAAAAAGTTTTACTTGTGTTTTTATAGGAATTGTTGCTTTGTAAATAAAACCTAGATATACAATATAGTTTTTAAAACTTCACTTATATTTGGTATTTAACAATACCCACATTCCAAATTTATTAGTTGGATCTGTATATTATCTGTATTTTCTCATAATATTTTATCATAAAAACATTTACAAAGTAGGTCATATTTTATAACTATCCTATTACACATAAGACATAGGTACAATTCTTTTCTTAAACAAATAAAGCAAAATTATGATACTTTAGTAGTCTGAGTAGTTAAAAAGTTGGTAGAGCACTCGTCTACTGTGCAAAAGGTTTCAGTTTCAAATCGAAGGTAAGAAAATATCTCACGAAAAATAACATACTACAAAGGAACGTAAGGCATTCTATTACTCTCTTTAGCCCTTTCCAAACAGAAAACTTTGATACACAAATACGGAAATTAGGTTTTTGACAAATGGTTATAAAAAATATAAATATTTTAAATGTGTTTCAAATGTGGTGTTTATACACACAACATTAAAATATTCCACAGATTTTCCAATACATAAGCACCAATATCTACATAATTACACGTATTAAGTACTCCCCAAAATCTCAAGTCAACTTTTCAGGCCCTTATAATAAAGGATTATCCAAATCACTGATGCAATTTAGACCTTTCTGATACATATTTCAGTCAGACAGGGGCAAACTAACACAAGAATTTTGCTGCTTTTTAAAATTTAATATTGAAATCTGGTTGGTTGCCTACACAACTTTACATGATACTTCTGCTGTATTCACTTGTGTTTGAGAATGACTTGCAC